TTTCCACGTGCAATGCTCAATTCATCCCTCGCACACCTCTTTTCTAGACACCTTGTCAGACCTTCTTTTCAAGCCCATGCAAGCCAATTACTCATCCGTTTCCCAGCCTGCCAGTCTTTTTCTCGGGTCCATGCAAAGTAAATCATACAAGTCTTGCCGGGCTCCTTTCTCAAGCTCATACCAAGTCACTTGCTCAAGTCTTTTCTGCTCTGGACCTCTTTCCAGACCCCTTTCATAGGCCCATGCAAAGCTAATTACACAAGTCCTTTCTGTTCTGGGCATCTTGCCAGACCCCCTTTTCTCAGGCCCATGCAAAGCCAATTACCCAAGTCTTTTCTGTTCTGGGCATCTTGCCAAGCCCGCTTTTCTCAGGCCCATGCAAAGCCAATTACACAAGTCTTTTCTGTTCTGGGCATCTTGTCAAGCCCCCTTTTCTCAGGCCCATGCAAGGCCAATTACACAAGTTTTCTCATGCGTTTTCATTGGTAGATCGCATACCTTCCCCCCACTCAAAACGCGATGTCCCCATCGCAAGACTGGTTCTCACTCGGAGGTACGCAAACCTTTGGCCCACCAACCGCAGTCAAGGACACCAGCCCATCTGCTTCACAAAAGGAAGAGTGATCAGTTCCTTCCCAGCGGGTGACGCCTCATCCTCCTACTCGGTCCGACCTTTTTTTTCTCTTACGTGGCGAGCGCCAGTACTGAGGTTCCTCCTCGCGTTTGGCAGGCAGGTCCAATCTGAGCCTTCCAGGGCCTCTTCTAGCCGTAAAAGCGTTCCTCGCGAATCGTTCCTCCCGAGTGATAATTTTCTGGATTCGGCCTTTTCCTTTCAAGAGAGTTGGGGCTCTCTTTTAATTCGCGAGTGCAGTTACGAAGACCTCCCAATTAGTCCCGAAACGGTTGTAATGTTCCAGCAAGGCAGTGTCAGTGCCCCGTGGTGGTGGCGGCCTCCACCCGGTACCTCGCCCGGCCCCTCCCCTTGGACAGTGCCGCCCAACTTAGTGCCGGTAGTCGAGGTCCGACCCAAACGGCCATGCCACCCCTCTATGGTATGGCGTGTGGTTGGAGAGTAGCGAAATAGACTAGAATAAGAATGACTCTCTCGCCCATTTGGTTCTCTCACCCTTTCACGTTTAGGCTCTCACCACGAGGCGCAATTTGAACTCCCCGACTAGAGCTCATTGTCGGGGGCAGTTCCGGACGTCCCGCACCGATCCAAGTGGTAGGTGCGTTGGTCCTTTAACCCTCATCCCCTTGTAAGAGGAACAGGTCGCGCTGAGACTTTTTCCCTTTTGGGAATAGATGTCTTGAGGTCGCGGTGCAAGCAACGGTACCCCCCTCTTGCTGAGGCCAAGGACTAGAAGAAAAGAGAAATCCATTTCAATGCTATTTCCAAGTCCATTTCAAGTTGTCTAGGGTCCCCTGTTTATGCAATGCAATTTCCAATGCACATTCTAATTCCAAGGCTCAATCCCATTCCAAGGCTCAATCCCATTCCAATACTCAATCCAATACCAAGGTTCAATCCAATATCTCTTCCAAAGCTGACTCCAGTATCTTTTCCAATGCTGAGTCCAATGTCTTTTCCAAGGCTGAGTCCAATGTCTTTTCCAAGGCTCAGTCCAATATCTTTTCCAAGGCTCAGTCCAAATGTCTTTTCCAAGGCTCAATCCAATATCTTTTCCAAGGCTCAACTTTTCCCAATCTCGGCCATCTCAGTGAGCCATGCAAGGGGACCCCAGTGCCAATTTCAAAGAACGACCCTTGACAGGGGTCATTCCGAACAACCTGGTTAGGGTCGTTCTTTCCAATTCCGAGTCGAACAACCTGGTTAGGGTCATCCTTATCCATTTCAATCGGAGAGTCTGGTTAGGGCCTTCCTTGTCCATTTCCAATCGGACAGTCTGGTTAGGGTCATCCTTATCCATTTCCAATCGGACAGCCTGGTTAGGGTCATCCTTGTCCATTTCCAATGTTAGCGCCCGAGGGGATGGGCCTCGAGGTCACGGATCCTATCCTTGTCTTGGAGGTTAGAAGGTGGCCATCTCTTGGGTTTTACGCATGCCTTTGCCTTTTGTCTGGTGCCAATCATCATTCTCATGTCCATATACATCCGACTTAGTGTCTAGTGCTCAGATTGGAGCTTGCAACCCCAAGTAGCACTAGCCCACCCGGTCGTTCAACCATAGCAAGGGGTATGTGCCATCACTGTTTTCTCTTTCTGTGACTTCTCATGCCTGTTGCTGCTCTGTGCTCATCTGGGAGAGGTAGGATTAGGCTCCTAGGGAAAAGGATTCTTCACGCCTCTTTACCCATAGGTCCCCTAACCTCTCACAAGGACTCATACCATAACTCATTCGACCTAGGGTACACATTTATCAAAATGAAACTCTTTGCCATGAACTTTCTTCAATCTCAACCATTCACATGCTCTCGCCCATTCCCAAAACAAAGTCAATTATTCCCCGTTCGTCTCCCATCATCAAAGATCCCCACATTTTCAGAGAGAGCAAGTACTTATGCAAAGTAGCACTAGCTACCTAGTCCCTTTTTACCTCCCCAGTTCAAAGAGCAGCTCTGTCGCAGTTTCCCCAAAAAAAAGGGAGACAAATTCGAATGCAAAAGTGACATTACAGACTTGTCTCATCTAGGTCCCCTCCCTCTCTTCTCTTCACTTTCTTTAAACAAACCCAACCCTTCATAGTCCTAGTCTCAAAACGGGTGAATCCTCACGCCCTTTCTGAAGGAGCAACTACTTATGGAAAGTAGCACTAGTTACTCAGTCCTTGGCCATTCCAAATAGAAAGTTGTCCCGTTGTGGTCCATTCTCAGAAAATTCAAATGCAAAATTCAAAAGTGGCAGTCCTGCCTGCCCAGATACCAGTCCTCCTCATTTTTTAACTACTCCTCATTATGTCTACTGCCCTTGTACTGCCCAGCTGCCCTGTGCCGAGCCTCCTTTGCACGATCATCGATTTCCTGCTGCATCAGTCTCTTCGTCCTTTGCGATTGAAGGAGCGCTTCTTCTGTGAAGAAGGTCGTAGGTGCTATGTCTTCTCCTCTGCTCAGCTTTTCCTTCCCTTTTATCGCCCACTCATACCGCATAATACTAGCCCATTGATCGAACCAGTCACTGCAAGATGGCATGAACTCTCTTATCCATTTGTCCTTCTCCTCACCAGGGTCCTCCTCCCTAGCCCGTACCTCTTTTGTTGGCGTCGTCACTTCGTGATCCTCTTCCTCACTGCTGAGGGTTTATGACCTCGTTGGGCTCTTCCTCTTCCATCCTCCTCTGCCTCTTCCCTAGGCTTCCATCCTCCTCACTACTGGTGTCACTGTCAGATGGGAGAATTATCGGTTCCCTCTCTCTCAGGGGAGAGGGCCCCTTGGTCCCTTGCTTCCTTCCCCCTCTGTTCACAACCAAGTTGAAGTCAAATCCCACATACAACCTCCTTTTCCTGGAACTTGATTCCCCAGCCTGTCTTGTTGCTTGTTCCCCAGTAGGCCTGTTAATGGCATTGCCGTCGTTTTCATTTCCAAATTTCATCTTTCGCCTTTTCCTGTTGCTTTCTCGTTCCCTGGTCCTGTTCATTCATAACAAGTCCCAGCATCCCTCATGTGCACACACTCCCTTCCATTCCCATTTGCGAGTTTTACACGTTTGCCCAGAACCCTTGCTTGCCCCATGTGATCGGTAGTTTCATTATCCCTTCCCAAACTTTGGTACATTGTCCCGATCACATAAGCTCCCCATGTAAACATTCCCCAGAATTGCCCCACAAAAACTATGGTACATTGTCCCAGGCTCCCAACCCCATTCATATTCGGCCGAAGCAGTCACCTCATGCCCCAAGGGAAAGAAGACACAAAACGAACAATTCCCTGCAATCATGATCACTTCCGCAGGGCGGCGGTACAGAACTTATGGTCATCTGCCTGCCTTTCAAGTTGTCAATTCCCCTGTTTCCTTATCCTGAGCCTCCTGTAACCATTGCTCCACCGGATCTCTCCTCAAAAACCTGACCAGCCTCTGCCCCGAAAATGACCCTCTTATCCCAGTACCATCGAGAGCCTCAAGTTCAAACGTGTTCAATCCCACCCTCTTAGCGATCTTGTAGGGACCTTTGAACCTTCTTCCCTGTTGTCCAGACCACGTGCTTTCAAGAGCCGAGTTCCTAAGTAGTACCTTCTCTCCCACCTGGAGTGGTTCCTTCCGGATGTTCTTTACCTGGTCCCACCTTGCTTATTCCCTCATTCGACTATCCATTACACGTTTAACCACCTCCTCCAAGGCTTCCTCATTTCTAACGACCTGTTGGCAACGGGCGACAATTAGTTCCTCCATAGACATATGCGGATCGTCATCTAGCCTATTCCAGGTAGGAACCAGGGCTTCCACTGGGAAATCAATCTCCCTTTCATACCAGAGTTCTGCCGGAATGCATCCCGTCGTCCTTTTCGGTGTCATGTTCTCTGAGAAGACCGCTTGCTTAAGGTACCGAGGCCAGTTTCCCAAGTCATCTGCCGCCAACTTAGCAATCGTGTTTTTCAAGGTCCGGTGCCCCATTTCTACTGGTGCGTTTGCCTCAGGATGATACGGTTCAATGATCTAGATTGGTACGCACAATGTCTTAAGCCTACCCAACACCTCCTGGTTGACGAACTCCGTCCCATTATCCGCTATGAACCTGCGCACAAAAGGGTGCCTTAGGTAGAAGTCCTCTATCTAATTGGCCAATCCTTTCCCCGTCTTTCTCTTAAGAGCTACTACCTCCACGTATCCACTGAGGTTATCCCTTGCGTCCAGGATGTACCTGTATCCATCTGTCGATACAGGCATGACCGCAAGATCAAGATGGACCAGGTGCCCCGGCCCCAGTACCCGAGTAGGCCTAAGGGGCTCGAAGATACGTGCGGTGCACCTTTCTTGACATATCAGACACGTTTGACAGTACGTTGCCACCATMCCTGCCATACCTGGCCAGAAGTAAAGTGGCGCGATTTTTGCAAGAGTCCCTTTGGATGACCGGTGCCCTCCGACTAGTCCATCATGCATTGCCTGAATTATGTCCAACTGCCTGGACCTCCCGCACACAACACGCCTAGGCATCATTCCTTCTTCTTTCTTGAACAGGTGACCGTTCCTCAAAACATACTTTTCGGCTTCCTCCCTTGCCTTGAGGCTGACTTCCATAGGCCGCTTGTTTCCTATAAGCAGCACACCGACTTCTCTAAAGATGCCATCATACATCTGTATAGAGAAGAATTATCGTCCCTTCTGATCGGTGTCTTGCTCCTCCTGAGCCTGATTCACTAGATACTGCCGCTCTCTTCGCGTCCAAGTTTCTACTAGATTCATCACAGCATCCCGACCCCCTTCAACGGCCATTGCCATCAGCTCTTCCTTTGGCCCCATCGTTGCTCCCCACGAATCCTTCTCATCCTTGCGTCTAAACGTGATGACTGATCCTTCCCTGAGTTTCGCAACTATGGCGGGCGCGCCCTTTTCTAGGGTCTGAATCAGCAGTTGGTCCATTGTAGGAGCCGTGTCTGCCATCTCGTTATCTACGACAAGGGTCACCCCTTCGTATTCTAGGAAGGCGTATTCTAGGAAGGCGTCGATCGGTTCCGCATCCTCCACTCCCTCCGACGTAATACAAATCCGACTTAGCCCGTCTTCCCTATTTCGGAGCCCCGCAATTCGCTCAGCCTTGTAGTCGAATTGCCATATGAAGCCTATCCATCTCCCAACGGTCGGGTCTATAGGCTTGTAGTTCTTTAATGCCCCGACAACATTAGTCGGATCGATTCTCAAGATAAACCGTCTCCCGAATAGGTATGCCTGAAAAGTCTTAAGGCAATGTAAAATGGCTAAGACCTCTTTCTTGAATTGTGAGTACCGCCGCTCTGCCGAATTCAGGGTCCTGCTCTCAAATCTGATAGGCCTCTCCTTACCTTCCTCGCTCCTCTGTATCAGGACTCCACCTACTGCCAAAGGTCCTCCGTTTGTTTCCAAGATAAAGGGTTGTCCTACTTCATCATTGAAGCAGGGCGCTACCAGGGTGACTTGGTCGGAAGACAAGATGTCTTTGAGGGTCTGGACTGCCGCCTCCCTATCCTCAGTCCACTCCATGGTCCCTCCTTCCCTAATCATTGCGCGGATAGGTTCAACTATCTTGGCAAAGCCTTTGATAAAAATTCTCCAGAATCCAACCACCCCTAAGAAGGCTCGTACTTCCGTCGTGGTGCGCAGCGGTGTTGGCCATTGAGAGATCTTATCTGTTTTTGCCGGGTCAGGTTTCCTGCCATAGGCCCTACAGCGAAACCCCAGTATGGTCACTTCTGGGACCGCCAGGATGCTTTTAGGTCCGCTTGCGGTAATATTATATGCCAGGAACCGCTGAAGTAGGTCCTTGATATCCTGTAGGTGATCCCAAACGAATTTTTGTATGCCCGGCTGGACCTCTGTCTAATCCTTGTTCTGCACGCCTTTTAAGGGATTATGGTCCATGTAGGGCTCGCATTTTTCCGGGAACATGTCCCCTGCAACCGCAAGCATCCTCCTCTGTGCCTCCGCCACAGCATTTGTGAAGCCCATAGCTGTCACTTGCATTTGCAGCTGACCTACAGGGGTGTGCATGGCGGTGTACGGTCTATCCCTCGCGTCGAGCGGTAGTTGGTCATATCCTGAATATAGATCTATCAGGGAGTAAATGCTTCGTCCG